TTTCGTCACAGAAATTTCATTTATCTTTCCTAATTAGTGAACACGTGGTCTGATGGTTTACAGAAGATAAAATATTAAAAGATTTGTGGCTTTTTTTTTTTTTTTTTTTTTGCTTCTAACTGCTCTCCCAGTGCGCTAAGAACATGCAGCCTGTGAAAGAGGAAAGGAATTTTTCAGCACAAGTAAATACTCCAACTCCTCTTCTGAAATGGAGGTGAAAATCAATTTCCTCTGTTAATGAATGACTGCTATTCATTTCTATTGACTGAGTAATGCATTGCTCTATTTCTAAAAGCATTTTTTTCTAAACAAATACCATTAGAAACCTGCAGGTTGATAGACCAGGAATATACAGTAAGGTTCTTTTACTGCCCAGTGAACTCTAATAAGCTGACACTCTCTCACTTGGGCAAGCATTTAACTTTGTGAGATGTCATATACACGGACCCCTAAGGATTCATTCATAATTTTGCTTCTTTTTCTCTAGCCACTGTGTTTATTTGGAATAGAGTCTACACAAATGTAGGGCCCCCTCCATTGCCTCTCATGCACATGGCAGGCCCCGCCGAACAGGTAAGCGAAACGTGGCCCGTGGATTTTTACACAGAATTTCCTTAGTATCAGCCTTTTTCAGGTGCTGTTTGCTTGCAGGTCCCAATAAATCTCATGCTGGTAGAAGCCTGTTTCGATGATTAGCATCAGTGCATCCGGTCCTCTGAAACAAAGATATTCCCAGGTCCCCACAGATGGCCTAGATTAACGGGGCTGTAGTGATCTGGTTTCGATAAATCTTGTTAGCAAAACAAAAAAAAAATTCTGCATACCAGATGTTTTTTACTAGTCCCCATTAATGTATGGGTGATTTTTTTTTTTTTATATCAAAGGTAGTGTGATTTGGGCATTTATTAGTGCTGTTCAGCATAAAGTATTTTTAATCAATTCACTGACTTGGCAAAATGTTTAAAATGATTTTTTCCCTTCTTTTTCAGTGGCACACTTTCAGACAGGCTGACAGAATGTAAAAAGTGAGGCAATTCTCAAAATCGGAGGATAGAGACTGGCCACCAGGGTTTTCAGTTAGGGTCCCCTTAGGGAAAGAAACAAAAACTCAAGTTCTTGCAACACCTTACTTAATACAGTGTAGCAAGGTCTCCTATTAAATTAAATTAGTATGTAACTATACAATTTGAATGTCCTGTTCAATTGATTAAATGAGGTAATCCCTGCAGTTACATATTTAAATAAGAGACTATTATTTTTCCACAATAGCCCAAGGTTTAAAAAAAAAAAATTTAAATAGGAAATGGCAGTGCTCAGCACTCAAACTACTGTAGAGTCTGTGCTAAATAAAGTATATATGTCATAAAACACAGCTGACTAATGTCCAGCAGTGTCTATCAAATGAGCACATTTTGTTTTTAAACTGTGTTGACCCTTCTCAACCTAATATTTGCCTATAAAAGCTGCCATGGTTAACAGTTCTTGGGCTACTCAATTGTTTTTAAACAGAAATGCCAACTCTACTGATTTCCTGATGGCTGATGAATATTCTTTTTTTTTTTTAACATAGATATACACCAGGAAATGAAATACGATGACTACATGCTGTACTAAGGAAAATAATACAAGAGAGAAAATATTATTTTTAGATAAGACTATTTCCTAAATTTTAATGATATCTTACAAATTTGTCCACCATATGCTAGAGTATGAACATGTATGACATATATTTCTTCCTATCATGGGCAATTCTTCTTATCTATCTATACCTGAGTCATTTTCTTTCAACAACACTGAACCCAAGATTTCATTGTAAAGCTCAGTAAGACAAGGAAATGGGCATTTCCCTTAACTGGAAAGAAAAGGGAGTGTGCAGTGAAAATAAGGCTTCAGGGGTCTGCTGAGAGAGAGTCCAGAAGAAGAAACAATACAGCCTACGGGTGTCATGAGAAGTAGTTATGATTCTGTGTTGTCCTATAGTTCTCTTTCTCTGAAACTGTCTCAGCACTTTCGACTTCTCCCTTTTGTAAAAATAATCTTCTTCCACTTCCTGTACTTCAAGAAAATTGCTCCCATAATCTGCAGATCTTTAATACTAATACATAAATTTAATTTGTATGTACTCATGTATGCAATATATGTAAAATGAAAACATATAGAATAATGGCATCCTTGGCAAAGCAGCCTTTTAGGAAATTAAAGATGCAGGACCCTCAGGCTATGAAAGAGTTCCCTTGCTTTTTGGGCATGACTATTAGTTCAAGAGGTTATTTGATTCTCCGGGTTCTAGAGTATCTTAGAATTATGCCCTGGACCACATATTATGGAAAAGGCTTTTCCAGTGCTCTATGTGTTCTAAGCTGACATCTCATTTTATTAATGTTGTTCAGGAAAACATATGTACAGGGTATGAATGCAAGTCAAAGCCATTCAGTGAAACACAACCAAGGTGGTATAGTCCTGCATGAATTATCAACAGAGGAAAAACAACTTGCTATAAAACTAAATTATAAGATTATGATATCTAAAACGCCTAATTAGTTCAGCCACCACACCAAATGGAATCATCACCTTCAATATTTTGTGATTTTTCCAGATGTAGATGGGAAGAGGCCCCAACCAGGAGTTTAGAATGACTTTATTCCCAAACTCCAGGCCCCTCGAGCCTACTGACCACGGGCCTGCCACGGACAACGGGTGTTTGTGGGGAGTCAGTGCAGTAACACGTCACCTCCGCCGTGACAGGTGATGGGCATTTTATGTGGGAGATAAACTGACCTTCTGGATAAGGTGTCTGACCTCTCCCTCCCTGGCAGCTGCTGGTCCAAACAAACTGTGAGGCTGCACTTTGACAAATGAAGCCAAACCAGGATCCTGTTTCTCTGAAGCCAACAAGCTGGCATTCCACAAGCTCATTAGGGGGCCGCGAATTCCTGCCAGGCCAGGCCTGCGCTCCCCCTCCCTGGCGATCCCTGTGGTCGCACGTTCCCATGCTCTGCGGGGCCGGATAATGCTGTCCACAGTTCACATTCCATCCTGTCAGGGCGCTCTCAGAGGTGACTCATAGTTACAGCAGAGGTCAGAGCTGGCCAAAGAAAAGGGGGGAAAGCATCTCCAGAGTAAGTAGACCAGACCATAGAAACCACGTGATCTGCGATTGTTAAACCATTTTTCACGGGACTCCCGAAAACCTTTGTCGGGAGATAGGAACTTGCACTTATCAAAACTCCTAAACTCTAATACCAAACGAGGGGCATAAAAAAGAAACACGGAAAAAGAACTCAACAAAGTGTAGCTTCTACATCCTGAAAACGTTTCATTCAACAAATTCAGTGAATGGTGATTGGCCACCTATAGTGTTCAGTCTCCTGACAATGGCTGTAACAAAAAGCCTCGGTTTAAAAAAAAGAATAAGAGGGACTACTTCTGCTTTACAGAAAGAACTTGGGAAATCTAAATAAAAAGGGCCTGGAGGTCTCCTTATGCAAATATTCAAACTGAGCTGAAGGCTCTACCTTTCAGAACCGGAGGCCAGCACACTAGGTTGTGCTGGCCAGATGCAGTCTCTGCTTGTTTTGTATGGCCAGTGAGCTAATGAAGGTTTTTATCTGTTTAAATGGTTGGGGTTGGCGGGGGAGAGATCAAAAGAAGAAGAATATTTCATAATACGTGAAGATGTATAAGAAATTCAAGTTTTCAAGTCTATAAAGTTTTACTGGAACACCGCCGATTGTCTGTGGCTGCTTCTGCACTTAGGGAGAGCCGAGTAACTGCAACCGGACTCTACGGCCTGCGAAACCCAAGATGGTAACTGTCTAGCTTTTACAGAAATTGTTTGCCGGTCCTTGTTTTAGATCATTGAATACATTTTTGCTTTCACCACGATATTTGAGAACATTTACCTCAGATTTTGTTGTAAAGATTTAGAAAATGCAAGGGAGAGAAAAGAGACAGCAGCTAAGACCTGAAGAATCAGTCAGCATGACTTGACAGAGCAGGACAAATACAGGTAAGCCACCAAGCGAAGTGGTTCATGTTGCATTTACAGATCAAAGCCCCAAAGCACGAGAAAACATAAAAGTTCCCTCATGGAGGAGAAGTATAATTAGTGGTTCTTTTTTAATACCAATTGTGTTGATGTCCTATTACTGAGCCAGAATCCCATGTACCATGGATCTGTTTTCCTGTACATGTGGTTTAGTTTTTCTGCCTCCAGCGCTTGATTCTAAAGAGCTGGCTACCCTGGGCTTCCCCCAGGGAAGTGTGATACAAGAGAATCCCAGGAGTAATGTCTGTCTCTGAGCAGACAGTCCTGTTGGTGGATGGCTACCACCACCTATTCTGCGAAGGCTCCAGTAGCTGAGAGGCACTTCAGCCATCCAGTCAACAGGCAGTGCCTATGAAATGAATGGCAAGACTGAAATTGGCACTTCTACAGGGACAACAAAGCTGTGCGCAGGCTTTGCAGTCGTTCAGTCTGTCTCTGTTCTCTCACATGATACTCGGACATGGAAGAAAAGTAGAAGTGGGATATTGCTTTCCTGAACACAATCACCTGTGGGTTAGCATTTTGTCCCTTGAGGGTCAGGGACTAAAACTGAGAAAGAAAAAGGTGAAGATGTCGACTCCGTATTAAGACTGCCAGGGTTACCTGCAGCCTTATTCACACCATGGTGGTGATTCGAGGCGTCACAGAGACACTCAGACAACCCGACAAAGCTCAGAACCATGGCCACGTGTGGCAATGGGTTTTCGTCTCGGCCTCCTCGTAACCTCTAGGCTTTTCTTTAGTACAGAACATCCTTCTTGGTATTACAGTATTTTCTATGTCTGATGTATCTGTTTTAACAGACAAGCTGAGAACTGGCTCTCACCATAAATATTCACTATTAATAAATGGACCTTCTACAAAAGGCAGAATACTTCCTTTTCATAGTGATGCAACAGAATACATTTTTAAGCAAAAATAAATAAAAAAATAAAAACTTTTGTAAACTTACCTAGAAAAATCTCCCTTTGCCTCCTGTGGAAGAAAAAATTCAACATCAGAGAAACATTCCAGTTCAGTGTTAAAGACTTAAAAATACATTCCATAGTCATGAGAGCTCCTCCACTGAGTAAGTCCAGCTCACCACCGCTACGGTCCTCTCTGCTACAGAAATATAATTAAGAAGGCATGCATGCATTTGCCACTTAAATATGAGGCACTAAATTAAACTTCAGGAACTTACATCAAAGCAAGTGATTCATAATAACAAATTGCAAGTTTCCATCTCTAGGGAAAGTTTCCACCAGTGCCCCTGCTCTAACTTTTTCTAGTTTAAAGATTTTGAATTGGAATGTGTGTCTGGGTAGAACTGTCTATCTCTTGTGCTACTGGTTGTTTTGTCTCATATTGTGGGCTAGTCCCAAATGGACTAAAGACTTTTGGAGGCAGGGACCATGGACTCTTGAGTGACTCTAGCATAATGCCATGAACAAAGCAGTTGCTCAATAAAGTTTTGTGGAAGGGTTAAATTAATTACTTAATTTCAATTCATTCTGCCAGTGTTGCTAATACTGCCAATGTTGCTAAGATTCAGTAAACCTCTTTTTTGCATAAAGCTAAAGGTCTTTTCATTGTCTTTTCAGAGTGTGTGAAGTGATTGTCTCAGCGATTAAGTCCTGCTTTTACTTGGTTTTCTCCGGAATGGGAGAGAGTGCCAACCCTGAAGAAAATGGGGTCACAGAATGATACCAGTGTCCCCCAGGCTCACACACAACCTTCCTCTGTAGAGAGATGCCGTCTTCAACTTCGGGGATACCAGGACGCCTACTGACTGCCTTGATGTACTGTCCCTAATTTTTTCTCCCCTCTGCGCCTAAAACAATTGAGACCCCGAGCTGTGGACACAGCAGCTGGCCATGCATGGCAAGTCTTATTCCTCCTTCTGGATGTGGCCAGGAGGGGAGAGCAACTTACCTGTAAAATATAGGAGGCTAGTTCAAACACCACTTCACTATCTACATCAATCAGCTCCTGCAAAAAAAGAAAACAAACCCAACAAGGGAAGTTTGGTACTTTAACAACAACTTTGTTATGATGTCTCCCTAAAAAGGGGCCTGGTCTTCCTTTTCTGAGGAATTCTCCCAAATCCGAAACACTCAGAGAATATCTCTGCTAACCAAGGCAACTTCTCTGAATTGTGTTTTCTTTGTAAACTCCACTTCAAAATCAGTAGTAAGACTTTATTGAAGGAAACTTTATTATAAGATTGTGACTCTTTAAATTAAAATCAAATAAAATTAAAAACACAGTTCCTCCGTTGCCACATTTCTCTCAGGCACTCGGAGTTCAATACAGCTGTTGGCTGCCAGAGCACATATAGAGCGTTTCTGTCATTGCCGAAAGCTCTGGTGGTCAGCACTGCTAGAGTTCAGGTTTAAAACCGCGGCTGTCCTATTAGTCTCTCCCCTAAACATTCCATCATGATCCATGGACATGACCCTAAAAGGACATAAATCTTTTGCAAAAAAAAAATCTAATACACATTTTTCTTTCACTTAATATACTTTTTCAATATGCATATAGTTCATATCTCCTTTCTAAACAGTTCTGAGGTATAATTGATACACAAAAATTGCACATGTTGAATATACACAACTTGATGAGTTTTCGCAAGCGCATACCCCAGTGTGTGCCATCACCACATTCAAAATAGCGAGCACATCTATCAGGTCCCAAGTTTCCCTTGTGTCCCCTTTGTGAGTGCCGGGGGGCGGGCGGCAGCGGGGGCGGGGGGGGGGTTGTGTGTGTGGTCAAAACACTTAACATGAGATCTACATTCTTAACAAATTTTAAGTACACGACCCTGTATTATTTATATATAGCAGAGATCTTAAAGATGAAAGGGGAACCTGGGGTCCCATCAGCAGGTAAGAATAACAAAATTAACTGATACTACACTTCTGTTGTCAAACTGCTGATCTCTTTCTCACATCGCTGGACCCTAAGTGAGCGATTAGAGCACAGAAAGTTAGAACCGGGACAGCCTCAGCTAGCCCAGTCCCCTGCTTTTACTGAGAACAGAATCCAAAACTGTAAGGGACTTGCCCAAAGTCATAAGGCCTGAGTGGCAGTGATGGGGCTGGAAACACCCCGGAACTTCTCGCCCAGCCAGCATGTGAACTTCCTCAGCGTGTGCGTTTCCCCCAATCAATTAGGACTTGGTTGTGGCCAACATATTTTCAGAACCACATCTACCATCAAAAGCAGCTGAAACAAGAATTGCTTTTCATTTGAATTACACACTTAACTCTAATCCATGAATTTTCTAGTTATTTTTATTTTTCTGTGGTCCAGAACTGGCCCCTGTAATTCAAAATAACGCCCCAAAGCAAGTCGGTATCTTTTGAGGGAAGGCTATGGTTTCGGCTCTTTCGGGCTTAGGAATTTCAAGGACAGATAATAACGTTTGCTCCTGAACTGCCTCAGAAGTGTGGGCTAACCAAACTGCCGAGAGCATATGGAAGGGCGGAGGACAATAATTCTCTACGCTTAACGGGCTGAAGGAGCTTTACCGCCGCTGTAATTGACACAGACCGCCAGTGCTGGGATGAGGAGGAACGCCTGGAATGGCGTTTCTGGGATTACCAGGTCCCCGAATGTAAATCATTTAACAGCGTACAAATGATTTAACAGAAACACGGTCCAGGGTTTCCACAGTGGATCATTTCTACTCAATGTTCATTTTCATTCCCACCAATAGGCTTCCTGAAGTCGCTCAGGTGTACTTGTTAGTGTAACGGGATGTGTGCTCTTCGGTCAAACATTTACACCTCCGCTGTAGCCAGTGGTCAACGGCGGGCTAATATTTAACATCTGAGAGGCTTATTTAATGTGTAAGTCAAAACCAACCATCAGGAACAACCCTTTTAAGTGTGAACACAGCTTTGAGTTCATCATTTGACTCATCTGCCAAATGAGAATGTCTACACTGGGGAAGTAGGGTGGGGAAAGCGAAGGGAGGCCTTTTTAAGTTCACTTGATTTTACACAGCCTATTCTGCAGTTCCCAGAGAGACTGCTAGACACTAATCTGGGGTGAACATTAACTGTAATGTACTTATTCAGAATAGAGCTACTGAAAATGCACAATTATGCATCTGGCCTGACTTACCCAAGTTCTTTCTCACCATATTTGTCCGCAGGCTAAGTGGGAATTAGCACCTCTAAGTGGGGTGAGTTTTAACCTTCTCTGACCTTGACCATTTCCCAGTGAAGATATTAAACACAGCAACAGTCAAAATGTGGTGAAGGAAAAAGGATTAAAGAAGAAAGTGGCATCCCAGACACCCCACACATTTGCAAAATCTAATGGAAAAGATAGTTGCATTGTGACTTACCATTTCTACCTAATCTTGATTATGTTCAAGAATCATCCCATCTCTTCTCTGAGAAGTCAGTACAGAGATTTACACTGTGTGTAAGCACTGATCTAGGAACGGCGGGAAGACACATTCCTAACTGTAAAGGAAATACTTCCCTACCTTGCAGTCTCTGCCTGATTTCCTGATGTCTATTGTTTGTAACACATTTTCCCCTTTTACATCTCACCCTCCCAGTTGATTTTATCTTTCAAATTCCACTGTGATGGTACAGAACTCTAGGCTTTCTGCCCGTGCCATACCCTTTTTATTTTACTTCAAAACCTGGAAGCTGAGTTCCCTGTGTCGAGGAGTGAAAACATTTTGAGGGATCCTCCTCTCAGACATGGGCTGCCAGGTAACGTAAAAGAGACAATTCTACCTGTTTCTCATCTGTCTTCCCTAGCAACCCAGAGGTGACTTCTTTCATGTGTTTCTGCACAGGCAGAGAAAATAAACTGAATGAGACCAAAAAGAGTGTGCGAAACCCCCATACTTTCCCCGGATGTGGGTTTTCCCTGGACTGAGAACTGGGAAAGAAGGAGGGGGAGCAAGAGAAGGCCTTTCAGAGAAGACCTGCAGGCATTTCTCACGTGGTACCACCCAGGCACCGGTGGCGTGATATTCTTCTGTGCCCCTCGTGCCCTCAGACCACTTGAGGAAGGGAGTCTGCAGGGTTTGCTGAGCAGGAATCTGGTCTGGGAATCCAGGGTGCGCTGGCGGGCATGTAATAACTTTATGTTGAGACTCACTGGTAAAGGGGGATGTTGGAGGAAGGGAATGTGATGTCTGGTAGTTATTGCGGCCATTTGGTGTGTATTTGGGGGTGTCTGTTTCACGTACTACTGAATAATGTGTGCTGCTTTCTTTGATCTTTTGAAAAATGGTAGAGAAAGACAAAACCTGACCACCTGCAGGTGTGTGCATGTGTGTGTTCAGAGCAGGGCTGGGAGGGCGGCGCCACTTCCTCCCCATCAGCACGGTTTTACCCCAGGTGATGAAGTAGCCGAAGGAAGAGGCCCGAGGTCATTTATCAGCAGCGTAGTGCCTGACAGTATTCCCAGGAAGATTTCCATCGTAGGGCCTCCAAGTGTTCCAAACAAATATCCCCACGAGAACCCCAGGGGCAGGTGTTATGGACTTTCTCCAAAGTCCTGAGAGCTGCAGGATCTCGTCATGGTCCCCCAGCGCCGAGGACCGTGGTGGTGGTCTTTCCACTCAACCAAGAATCTTAATGAAAAGCATTCCTCCATGGTCAGGAATGACAGAAATTCTGACTTTCACATAAGATTAATGAGATAATTATAACAAAAATATGACTAACGACCATCTGGTAGGCTGAGAAGATTCCAGTGAGGACAACCTTTGCAAAGTGCATGCAGAACGACTCACAGGGCTGGCCCACTGGTTTTCCAGATGAATCCTACTCAGTGACCACCTTCTTTCTCACCCACAAATTACCCAAAGATTATAGTTTCTTGCCATCTTCCTTAAGATCATTTTCTCCACACACCTGGAAGTTCCAGGTCCTGGTTCTAACACTGAAATCCCCAAAGAGCTCTGCAACACTGAATAAATCACTGACCTTGAGTTTTATTTTCCTAATCATTCAAATGGGAATAGTGATTTCTTTTCCAATTATTTTACTGAGTTCGGTAAGGTGTAAATGTACAAGTGATTTGGAAACTCTAGGACACCCTACAAATATCATGTCTGTATTACTGATTTTCGCTGATTGGTGCTTACAGATAATCTGACCTCCACAATTTTGCCTCCATCCTTCAGCACTTTTGGCATATATAGGAATCTTTAGTAAGAGATATATATACACACACACTCATATATATATATAGGTAAAGAGGTGGGCAGCATTGTGTGCATGTGTCCACATGTGTGTATATCATCCAAGTGGGCCCTGATGCCCACACTTTGCCTCCCCTGCGGCTGTGCAGCTGCCTCGCCTTATTGCACAACTCATAATGACTGCACAAAGTCGTCCCCAGGCCAGCGGGAGCTGTGATGGCAGGATAAGGATGATGTGATCTTGCACAACTCCTTTTGCTAGCCCTTCGCCAGTTTCTCATCTGTCAAGTCACTTCGCGTTTGCCTAATGATCCGGTGGGGTACACACCATTCGTGCTGGGCCCCCGCTCCCTCGTTTATTTGTGGCACAGGGACAGCTCCTGCTGTCTACCGCACAGGGCCCGTTTAACGCTCCTGAGGAATCTACTAGAGGTCACGGGCACAACCAGGGTGATCAGTCCACACAAGTTTGTTCGTAGAGTTGAAGATGAAAGGCGTCTCTGGCCTTACCTTCCACTCTCTGCCGTATGAGCACACACACAACACCTGCACTGATCACACTAAGAGATAAGGATTAGGATTCAGGACGTCTGAGACTAATGTTCTTGTTAGTTCTTTGTCCTGTGGGACTTAATTCTGGGCTTCGTTTCCTCATCTTCACATCTGCTCATTAGCAAAGCTCTCTGAAGATCCTGAATAAAGACCATTTATGTCCATTTTGTCAAGAGTGATGGTATTGAGACCTAAGTGGCAAAAGTGGCCCAAAGCTGATTATTTAAGCTCCAGTGACATGGGAAGCTCCCAGACCAAT